AGAGAGAGAGAGAGATTCAGAGAGATTGAGAAACACTTCAGGAGGTTACACTTACACTCCAGCAGTGTTTCCAAAAATGAGTGAAGTAGTAGTTCCTACTTTTGTGGTGTCAAGTTGTAGACTGAAATTCAGCAAAAATCTTTTCTTGACGCGAGGGATGTGAAATATATTCTAGGATATGTATTCAGTATGATCCTTTGTTCTAGGTACGAGCTTTTCTTTTTCTAAAGTTTTTCGGTCTTGCTCAAGGAAAGGAAAACTTGATATTATTTTTGAAACTCTCTTAAAGGCTCCTTTCAAAGCATCTCCCACGGGAAAATATCACAACGGTACAACACTGGTGTTTCTCAGTAAGAAACAAGTCTGATTTTTTTCAACATAGCTGTATACTTTGCAGGCTCCCAAATCTGTGCTTCCAGTCATTAATCAAACACCTCAAAATACCATCTTTAGCCAAGCTGTGTTTCGTGGGTTAGAAATGCGCTCTGATTCAAGAGTATGTTCATTTTGAAGGCATCACTGTTATTCGCGTGCTCTAGTGCTTTTGTCAGGGATGGAGCGGGCTCAGGAGTGCCTGCAACGCGGTGGGCAGCAGGTCTGAGGGCCCCGGTCCTTAACACGTTCCCAGGGGGATGCCCAAACTTTCTCCCAAGACGCTCAGTTCACCTTGCGCAGCGGGAGCGAGTGGACCAGACTGTGACAGGAATAGAGAATTTATGTGAGGAATAGGGAGAAAAAGAGTGCGCTTGGCTTGGTCCCGGGGTCACCAGAGCTTTGGGATTTGCAGGAGTTTATCATTTCTATTAACAGTTACTTGAAGAGGGTTGTTTACCGCCTGAATCCGCGACAATCAGACGACGGAGACCACTCCGAGACGCAAGCCACACCCCCTTGCCCCTCAGCTCCCCTCCTACCCTCCAAACTAATTAATTCAGGGCTGCCTTCCTGCCAGATATTCCCATTGGCTTCCATCCCATTCAGTGAAAACCTTGCAACAGTTTCACCTGGCTCCAGCTTGCCAAATAAACAAACAAACTGTCCAGCGACTGTGCCAGTTCCCTGCCCTGGCACCGCCCGACAGGGTTGCGCTCCGCCCCTTCCCACCACCTCTCACCCGCTCCAGCCCCTCGAGCCCGGCCTGTGGCGCCTCCACCCGGCCCCGATCGCTGGTCATTCTCTTCTCTGCCCTTCTCTTCCTTACTCCGCCCTCCTGTACCCTCGTGGACTCCTTGTTAAGCGCGTCCAGAGAGCCCCGCCTCTTCTCGTTGGTCCTCTGGTGGCCCACAGGCCGGGAGATTTACCGAGAGGGTCCCGGCTGAGTCGGAGGTGGTCCCGACTCTCAAGGCCGCTGCCCCATCCTTTGCACACCTCAGCTGGCTGCAGTTCGCGCCCCTCCACTGGGCGGGTAGCAGGAGCCTCAGCGACCGCCGCGTGAGGCTGTAGTCACGTGTTGTTTTGCCCGCTGCTGTGCGCTCAGAGCGGAGTGGGCGGGGGCGCGGGCCGAGGCGGGAGGGAGCTGGGGCGGGCGGACGGGGGTTGACGGCCTCTTCTCCCAACCCTCCCTTCCGAGAGCCGCCCCCCCCCGCCTTTGCTCACCTTAAAACCATCGTGCATCACCATGGCGAGTTGTTCCTTCGCTCGTGGCCAAGCGACAAGGAGACTGAGAGCTACAGCAGCGGCTACAGCGGCAGCTCTAGCTGCAGTGGCGACCACCCCACTTCTTTCCTCGGGAACCCCGACCGCACTCATTGGGACCGGGTCATCTTGTCCGGGAGCCATGTGGCTCTCCACGGCCACTGGCTCCCGGTCAGACTCCGAGTCCGATGAGGAGGATCTCCCCGTTGGGGACGAAGTTTGCAAACGCGGCTACCTGCGGAAGCA